TATCATGCTAATCACAATAGAATAATTCACATTGTTTATTGAGCTATACTAGGCAAAGTTTGTTAAAGCATTGTGAAGTCACTTATCTAGTAAAGATGATTTTCCATAAGAAACTAATGCTAACCAAGGGTGACGACATCCACGCACGGCTATGCCCAAGTCAAACCTTAATTTTGCGCCTGAAGTGTGCTGAAGAGTTTCTTTTGTATGTCTTGAGTTATGAGAAGCTATGTATTGATGGAATATGGTCTCATAATAGTAAAATAGACATCCGACGTGCAACATCAAGAATTTATGCCGATGGGTGCACCAGTCTCCGGCACGGGTGTGACAATTTGGACCCTGGTTTCGTGCCCTAAACATGCGCGAAGAGCTCGACTTGAGCTATGGGGGACCTTATATGAGTATAATATGGTCCCATGGCATTCAAGTGAACATCCTACAATTGTGACATTAGAAGTTGATGCCAACTCACCCACTTTGGCATACGAGGGAAATACTTCTCTACAAAACTCATGCCAATGAGGGGAACTTGCTGATTTTTTTTTTGGTTCGGTGACCTTAGTAGCATCTAAGGTTTTGGCTGGTTGAATTCTCGACATAACTAACACCGTTTGGGAGCAACCATTTTTTGTTCATCTTTTTTTCATGTTTATGAAAATCAATCTGTTAGCCTGAGCTTATAAATTAATCACTTTATAAGGTTAATATTGGTTCCTTGTTCAATCTATTTCTGCCAACGGTTGATATACGCCCAACAAATGGTATGGTCCTAAATTGATGATAAATAAATATATATTTTTTCACAGGATAAAGATGACTGTGATGAATATAATTCAGAAATGAATGCAGTTGGACGCAGCTACTATTCAGAAGACTTTTACTCAGAGGAGGATGGTCAGCTTTCTTGGTTTAATGCTGGTGTTAGAGTTGGTGTGGGTATTGGCCTTGGGATGTGCATTGGGATTGGAATTGGTGCTGGACTTCTCTTGCGATCGTATCAAGCAACAACCAGAAGCTTCAGGAGACGGTTCTTCTAACTTCCAGGGCACTCCCAAACTGTTTTTCTACCTAATCAAAAGTTCATTTGCGGCTTGTTATCCTAGGCAAGGTCTCATGGAGTTTGCCTTCCGTGGATGCATTGTATATAGTAAGCGTTCATCTGATCAACTAAAGGCACTTCTTTTTGTTACTATTGCCCTTTCCCGTGTATCCCTATGTATGAAAATCAATGAAAATCAATAAAGTTGTGCAATAAAGTTGTGCATTTGAATGAGAATAGCCCAACTTGAAACACATGTTACTCGTCATTCATCTTTGCTTTATATTTGTTGGTTGGTAGACGCACTGGCATGCACCTTTCATCAAAAACCCTGAAGCATCTCCTTACCTTTGATGTTTGTGATGGAGCTTGTATCGCTATGATGGATGATTACTGTTTGATTGCCAAGTTCCTTGCATGGTTTATCTTCTGTTCTTTTGTTTTGTAAGGCGTAACGATTATTTTATTTTTACATTAAGCTGTAGAATCTGATTCGACTTCTTATGAATTGTGTATAGGGCTGTCAAAACGGCTCGTGTTCGGCCGTTTTGGCTCGAAATACTGCGCTCGTTAATTTGCTATACAATACAGGTGTGTGTGTGTGTGTGTGTGTGTGTGTGTGTGTGTGTGTGTGTGTGTGAATGGTTGATTAAGAAAATTGAATAAAAATTATGTGTGTGTGTGTGTGTGAATTAGATTCAAATGACGTTTTAATATAAACAATAATTTTTAAATTTTATCCCAATTCTTAACATCTTATGAAAATTTTATCTCAATTCTTAACATCTTATGACTACGTGATTAGGGTTGTCAAAATGACTCTTTGTTCGTGAATAGCTCGTGTTCGGCTCCCTAAGCAATTGAGACGAACACGAACACACTTTTTGAGATCGGAATATAAACGAGCCGAACACGAGTTGAGCCTGTGCTTGCTCGTGTTTGACTCGTTTACACCCCTAATTGTGTAAAGTGCTTGTTTTCTTACACTTTCATATCGTTTGTTATTGCTTGTACTGTTTGGCTGTGAGCCCAGTCCTTATTGTTTTTTTTTTATTCTATGAGTAGAATTTTTATTGTCTAGCACTACTATTGCATTTTTTTTTTTTCCTCAATTCGTCGTTAAATATGGGCTTTGTTAGGATTGGATACAAGTTATGATCAATTTGTTCTTGATTTGGTTTAAATTTGGTTCACTAATTTCAGTGAGCTTTATTCGAGTTAAAATTTGATGTAACTGTGATTTTTTAGATACTGTTTATTATAAAAATATCATAAATAATTGTGTATATGTATTCATTCTGCCCCGTCTGTAAAAGGAACCTTATTCGAGTTCGTTTCAATATAAATTGATTGTATTTTTTCGCCTGGACAAATGTGTGAGGCAGATTTACAGGATTCGGCTCATGGATTGGTCCTCCTCATGTATCCTTGGGTAATTTCCTCAATATTAAGCTTAAATGGATGCAATTATAGCATGTATGCCTTCTAGCAAGGATAAATGGATAGTTATTTTATATGTATGGCTTACAAGTAATTAAAAAGTAGTATATTATCTCATTAAAGGAACTGAGAAGTTAGTTGATTGGCCATTTAGATTTGCATTAAAGTCATTTATGTTATGAACAATTACATGAATTTTTGACTTTATCTCACTTTTAGGTGATAATATAATGATTTAGCTAGGTTTATCTAAAACAACTGTATTTTTTTTAGAAAGAGGAAATGCTAGCATCTCTTTTTTTTTTTTAATTTCATTTTAAAGTTTGTTTAAAAATTTTTAAGCTTTATTAAGGTTTACTTAAAATTTGTTTAAATTCATTTAAGTTTGTTAAAGTTTATTAGGAATCATTTAAGTTTCTTAAAATTTATTTTAAATTCATTAAGCTTGTTAAGCTTTATTAAGGTTCGTTTTGGTTTGTTAAAATCTATTAAAGTTGATAAAATTTAATTAAAATTTTTATTAAATTTTAATTAAGTTTGATTTATATAAGTTTTATTAAGTATTATTAAAATTCATTTATGTTTGTTAAAATTTTTTAAAATTTTTTGAAGTTTGTTTTGTTGTTATGATTTTATTTAAACTGTGTTGAAGTTAATTAAAGTTGATTAAATTTTATTAAACTTCAGTTTGAGTTTTTAAGACTTCTGAATCCAAAAGGTTTTAGCCAATCAATATATCATTGAAACTATGAATTCTGATATTGAGCTTAGGTTTAAGGTTTCAGTTTGAGGTTTGGATTTGGAGTTGATTCAAAGTTGAGTCGAATTGGATTGAAATTGATTTGGAGTTGAGCTAGAATTAGTTTAGAGTTCGGTTGAAATTAGGTTGAGTTGGAATCGAGTTGATATTGAATTTGATATGAATTAAGTTTGAAATTGAGTTGATATTATAATTAATATTAAGGTTTGAATTGAGTTGGAATTGAGTTTAGTTGGATTGAGATTGAGTTGAGTTTGAGTGGGAATTGAAATTGAGGTTCAGTTGGGATTGAGTTTGAAATGGAGTTTGAATTAAGTTTGATCATAAATAAGGGGGTAGGAAAGGGTACAGGATTTCTAGATAGAGGTGAAGCCCAACCTAAAATGACTCTAAAAAGGAGGTTAATAGGTAGACCAACCCAAATTTTCATAATAAAACATCGGTCAAGTAACTCATGGCATTCCATCATCTTGTGTGCATCAATATCCTTAGACTATTAACCAAAAAAATAACAGGAGGTCTTCCTTGTTATCATAGCAATGACTTAAGGTAGATCATCCTATTATAAAGTGGTTTGGGTTACCTTCATCAATAACCATATGTTGTTAACTCTTAGGATACCCCTATGTGCTAAGGGGTTAGGTCAATGTCATTAATTTTATATGTTAGGTACATAATAATCTAACTTAGGCTTATAGATTGAACTACTCTAAGATGTGTGTGGACTTGATTTTTTTTCTACTTTGGCTAATGTATGATTCATAGTTTGGATCTAACTAAGGTTGTGTTTGTGAAACAGTAGAGTAGGTCGATTTTAATTTTCTTAGGGTCCAATATTACTCATGATTTGTTTGATTCCTAAGCTTGTCGGTCATAGTAAAAAAATCATGTTTCTTATAAGGGTTTGAAGTTTTAATTTTCTAGGTTGTTGATTAATGTGAGAAATAAGGGCTCTTCTAAAGTTTTATTTTCTCCCTAGGTTGCAGTTCATTGTTCTTTCTCTTAAGTTTGTCCTCTAATGGTTTGAGTTTAAGGATTGCATTTAAAATAATTTAACTCAAACCATTCATGCATATATTCTTCATATTTAAGAATCATTTATATGCTTACAAAAATTATTTTATTTTTTTCAAGCAAGAAGAATTTTTATGAAAAAGATTTTATCACACGAAGAGTGTTAAACTTATTTATATGTGAATTATATTCACTTGAAATGACCTAAAACTTATTTACTCAAAGGCTAAGGCTTCAAAATCACATATGCTTGGAGAGAAACATGTTCATTCTAGAGACACTTATTTCTATGAATATATGAGCCCTGCCTAGGCTAAGCTATTAAAAGAACCTTACAAAGCATATAAATTCTAAATTTTTAATATTAAGAATCTTTGAAAAATATCTTTAATCATTAAGTTTTGATCTATTTTTTTGAGTTAATTCTAATTTTATTTTTCAAAAGAGTTTTAAAAACATTTTATGTTTTGTTGGAAATTTTTAGTTTTATTAAAAAAGCTTTAGTTTAAGGACTGTTTTACGACTTTAATTTTTTTATGAAAAAGGTTTTTAACATTTTTATTCTATATATTTCTTAGGAAATTTATGTGAGATAATTTTCAAAAATATTATCTTAGAAGAGTTTCTTTTGAGCTTGAACCTTCACAAAAGTCCTTAAATCTTATTAAATTTGAGAGCAATTAATTAATATAGAAATTACTTTTAAGAAAATAACTTTTTAAATTTAGCTAGACACTTCTTCTCACTAAGTTTAAGGAGTTAAATTGTTTCTCTTTTAAGAACACTAAACACAATTCTTATGACATGTATGATCATCCTAACTTGCATATTATGATACTAGTCCAACTTTCATGAAAGAAAATCCAACTTACATTTTATGATACTCATCCAACTTGATTTAAAGAAAATAAAATTCATCCAACTTCAAAATTAAAATGTGTAGACATATATTCTCACACAAGCATACATATCACACCTTGGCATACATTCACTCACATGGATGCTTTCATACTTATCACATTCACATTTTCACATGTTTTTTTTTACACATAAGCATTAATACATTTCTTATCTCACATTTGTGTATCAAATCACATACATTTACATCGTTCACCTTACACTTTTACACATGTCACTTTATACATATACACACATATTTATGCTCAAACATAACTAAACTTCAACATATGACTAATAAAACTTTTGCACATACATAACTAAACAAACCTATAAACTTAAACAAACATACATGTTAAAAATTAAATTTGCACACACATAAACATTTTCTCCTCTCCCTTGCTTTTGGATAGGCTACTTTTAGCTAGGTCTAATGGGTTTTTTTCAAGTGGATTTAGATTGAGTTTAATAGGTTAACGTAGAGTTAGTTCTTACGTAGATAAGTTTAGGTGTGCTAGGTAAATGGGATATTGGAACAAATGGGTTAATTACTTAGTTTAATGGGGTAATTATTGAATTAATAGGTTATTTAATGTGTTAATGAGTTGATTAATGGATTAATGTGTTGATAAGTTAGTTAGTTTGAATTTAATGTGTTAATGAGTTGATTAATGGATTAATGAGTTCATTAATGTGTTGATAAGTTAGTTAGTTTGCTAATAGTTTTATTTGTGTTTTAATATAGTTAATTAGTTAATTAGTGAGTTAATTAATTGATTATTGATTTAATATACTCTTTAATGAGTTAATTAGCATTTTAGTAGGTTAACTATTACTTAATGAGTTAATTATTGTTTAATGAGTTACTTAATTGCTTAATGAGTTGA